CTTCGAGAACATGGCCTGGGCCCCAGCGGTGTGTGTGTGTGTGTGCTAGGGGTAACTTTTGTACCTGTCAAGACAATGAGCAAGCGTTGTGTTGATCGGCCATTCCAATAAGTTGCAATGCAGGGGGCCTGAGGCTCACAGACAGGGCTCAGGCCAACGAAGACACTGGTCTCATGAGAGTGATATGATCCTGGGACGCGGGGAAGCCGAAGTAGGTCTTTCCATGCAAGAGTTACGGATTTCTGTCGAAACTTAAGAGTGTCCTGCAGCGTTCTGTACCAACAGGTAGCTGCTCATCCCGGTACTGTTAAAGTTAAAACAGCTCGACTGAATACACCCGTCCACTGAATACACCTTTTTTTGACGACGACGATACAACCAGCTCAGACTGGGTATGTGTGTGTGTGTGTGCGCTTCCCGACAGTGGTTCTGCCAAAGCGCTGTCGGACTCCCGATCTGCGGGAGATACCCAAATCCAAGTTGAGATTCCTATATTGTCGTGAATCGTGTACCCTAATCTGCAGTGGCAAATGCTTTTGAGATGTGAATATGCCCAGCTGTTAGTTGCTCATCCTGCATGGAGCTGATCTGAATGCACCCAAGAAGAGGCAGCTCATTCTGAGCGCACCCCTGTTCTGAGTAGAACAACTTCTAGAAAGAGTCGTGGCTCTGATTCGGATGCAGGCCATCCAAAATGGTGCGAGCACGAGCGTCCCTACTCCTTACATGCTTTCGATCATATCATGGGTCAATCCAAGTGTGTGTGCACGCGTCCGTGTGCTTGGTGGGCTGCAGAGAAATTTCGGGTTCCATGCCGGCACGGTCGCCTTGGAAGGATGCCGAATGCTGCTTAGAAAATGCGGGCAAGCTCAAGGCAAATGAGCAGCTGCAGGAGCTCGATGTGCAACATGTTTGAGCGAGTCTGGGGCAGGGTCACTTCGCTGAGCTTTGAATTCTGGTGCAGGAGAACCACGGCTTCTTGATGCCCGCGCCCCGCGCAAGGTTTTGGTTTTGCACGTCGTAGTGCATGCC